CATGCCTGCTCCCGTAAATGTTTTCAAAATTTTGCTACGGCTTATGGTTTTTTTGTCAGGGTCCTGGAGACCGACGCTGGGTGTCTCACAAGTATAGAAACTGTCTCCAGCATACTGTCTGACAGAGAGAGGCAGCCCAGGTGCAGATAATTAATTACCATAGCAACGGGTCCCAGAGAGAGGCAGTGAGTAATCTCACAAACAAGCACAGAGACAGGTCTCACAATGCATTGTGGGAAGAATACATATTTCCTGTGACTATTCATATTTTGCTTACATAAAATTATTATTTCTCTGAATTTTTGAGTGTGAATGAGAACCACATGTGCGAAGCTTATAGTCGTCAGTCTCGGACTGAATTTCACTGTGCATGGGGTTCAGTTATTGTACTGTTGGGGTGAACCAGATCACTATGGTGATGGACCTGGAAAAGCTTCAGTCATTGCTATGTCAGACCTGCATGGATGTACTCCTCAGGGCAAGTCCAGCTGTGTGAGCTGTAGCTAAAACGCTGGGTCCAAAGTGATGGGCACACTTCTGCAGGCCCCATTTAAATTTCTTCAGGAATTTTCTAGTTTATTTTATTGTGATTGTACCAACACAGAGTAGAACAAAACCATAAATACATAATTGTGTGAAGAAAAGGGTTTTATTTTTTCCACAAATCTAAAGATCATGTTTGTCGAACAAATTCTCATTTTCAACAACCTGTTCAGAAAACGTACAACAGAAAACAGGAAAATATCACAAAGCAGAGTAAAAGAACAGAATCTAAATAACTACAAAAGTTTCCAGTTCTTTTTTCTGCTGCAGTGAGATCAAGTAAAACTCTCTACTCTGTGATATTTACCATTTCTTGACTTTATTTTTTGTCTGAAGGTTTACATGTAAATATGTTACCTACTGTAAACAGCAGTAGGAATGATCTCAGAGTGGAAAATATAAATAAAACTCCCCTCGGCATTGTTTACCTAACTTTTTCTTCAGAGCCACCATGGAAAAAATCCCCTCTCTCCTTCCCTTCAGTTGGACAAATTTGTGCAATCTTCCATATAGCATGCATGCACAGGATCTGGAAGCTGATAGAGGCTTAATTTACTGTGACAAGCTGAATACCCTGGCATGAAAGTAAAGCTGAACGAGACCATAACCTGAAATCAGCCAGTCTCAGCTCTGCAGCTTGTAATATTACAATTTAAAAGTGTTTCCTGCGGTTTCTGTGGTTGTGTAATCAAATGAGTACTGATTACAGAACCCATCCCTGTTTATTCACCCCAACAAGAGAGAAACGCCATAAAAACAGAAACATTTTCTCTCCGACTGTTTCTGCTGGCTAAATTACTTTTGATAACACAGCTTGTAAGCGAGTGCAACCAAAAGCTTTTTCCAGCTAAGTAGTGCAACCCTCCCCCACCTGTTGCTGTGAGATACAATTTAACAGACTGAAAGAATGAAGAAACAGTTTGAATCTAAAAGTGAAACAATTTAGAAAAACGTGGACCAACTTGTGATGTTGTTGCAATATTGATGCATTTAACAAATATAGGAAGTGTTTATTTTTTCATGACATGTCATTTTATTTTTATTACTTTTTTGTGCATACAGTCAAAAAGTGCTGGAAGTGGGACATACAAAAACACTTCTTTTTACTATTTGATTTGATTTATTTAAATAGAAATAAAAATAGCAACGCAAACAAAACAGACATAATCAAATAGTACAAATAACATAAATGTAAAACTTAAAAAACCACTATCATTAAAAAAAAATCCACATTAATAGAATATAAAATGACAACACAACAGTATAAATAGGTTCTATCATGAATTATGGACGGAATCCTGTAATTAATTGAACCTTCATTGGTTTTCTTCAAAAGCTGATCTAGTAGTTGGTGCAGGGCAGGAAGTAGCTGTTTCTCAGCAGACGCAGCATCCGCCCCGTCCTCAAGCTGAACTCGTACATGTAGGGTCCACTGTAGAGGTAGGTGAAACCTGCAGAGCAGAGATGATACGTGTTAGTGAGGAAAAATGAACTGGATTGGACAGAATCATTTCATCAATTCACTAATCATGTGCTTTTGGAAGCGACTCACCTCTGTACTGTAAAGCTGCTGTCACCTTCCTGGTCATTCCAGAGAAGGTTTCATCAACTCGCTTTGGGAATCCTGAGTCCATCGTCTTTGTAGTCTCATCATAGCTGAAAAGGACAAGATAAAATATGGTCATTATTTCTTATTAAAAAGCAGAAAAGCACGTTGCTGGGTGCAAACTAGAAGAGGAAAATCCAAAAGACTGCTGGACTCTACTTGAAATTCAACATTTTACAAATGATTTCTGGTCTTGCTTGAACACACCTGTAGTAATTGCTGCCAACGAAGAACAGAGTCTTGCCAGTCTCTGGGTCATTGAGGGCCGCATCAACTTTCTTGATGTTCTTGGGCAAACCAAAGCTGGAAATCGATTTGGGATAATCCCGTACCAGATCATAGCCACTGAAAGCCCAAACTTGACGACCTGACAAGAAAAAGTTTGAAGTAGTTATTTGGGTAAAGGCTTTTGGGTTGCGTATAAAAATACCATCAGTCAACAAAGACAGAAATAAAATACCTTTAAAGAGAAAGACTCTGTCTGACTGCTGACTCTCGTAAGCAGCATCAATACTGTCAGGGGCGTTGGGCCAGAAGTTTGTTATGCGAATTTGCAGAGGGTTGTCCCGCTGAGAGTACCTACGCCAGAAAAATCTGAGAAAAGACATAGAGAAACTTAAAACACATGTTGGAGCCATTTTTTGCAAGATAAATTGTTGACTCCAGCTTCAAATTAATAGAAAATTAAGTTTCTGCTCTATCTGTTTTTGAAGAACAACATCTCTCCTCGTAGCGTGGCAACAGCATCCAAGACCAGGGAGGAATCACAGACATCAGGAGTGGGGGGAGCAGTTGGTCCAGGAGGAATTGGATCCTCATTTTTGCCTGGAGAATAGATGGTATATTACATTAAATCTCAGGAATCAATAATGGATAGGTTCTGAAAGAAGTTTAGTCTAATGCTAGTTTGTTCAAACATGGATTTTATGATACTGACCATAAAGTGACTGGATGCCTCTGACATCATCTTGTGGCAGAACAAACGTGTCTGGGTCTTGGTACGAGTACACAGGGGCCATGAGAGCACCAGGGTCGTTGGAGTGGGACAAACCCAGAGAGTGGCCGAACTCATGGGCTGCAACCAGGAAGAGGACAAAGCCTAGGAAACGGAGGATGAGTTACACCTCTTATTGGACCAATCAAGTTGTAAAAAGTGTTGAGAGAGTAGTCACTGACGATGAGAAAGAACAAACTTACCTCTGTTAGAGCGGAAGGTGAAGGTCTCATCTTCGTCAAAGTGGGCATCTCCTCCGATGCCAGGAGAAGGAGCGAAAGCATGGGCAAGAGTCCGGCCAGGTCCATCAAATGGGTTAAAATCACCATGTGCTGTTAGAAAGGACATCTTTTATTAAGATTGAAACAATCAAAGAACATCCAAAACAGAAAACTTAAAAAGAGTTTGATACTCACCACCACGACTAAAGGAGATCATGATGTCTGCTATGCCACTGTAGATCCTTGTGAATCTGAGGGGAGTAACTCTGGCCCAAACCTGAAGAGCTTTCTCAATGGATT